TTTAATTAAATTTTACTTTCACTTTTAACTTTTTTAACTATCACTTTATATTTAAACGCATAGGCTAAAATAGTTTATCTAAAGCAATTCTTTAAATCTTTTCCATACTTGCTTCTTATTTATTTTGATTTGGTTTTCAGGCTTGTATATTATATCCAATAAAAATAAACTTTATATTACTTGTTATTTCTGTTATTGTATCCCCTATCCGAAATTAATATTTCTGTATATTAATAAAACACAAAACAGCTAGGATTTCTTTTTTTATGTTGCATTTCTGTCTATTTTTCCTTTTTTGTTAAATTCTTTTTTTTTTGTTCTTCGCAATCATTTTTTGTTTTACAATACTTGAGAAATTGGCAACCAACACGTTAATAATACAATATTATTTTAAATAAAAAATGAGATACTAAAAATGAAATGCCAGTTTAAGTATGTCATAGGTAAATCGCGCATATTAAGCAAAGTTGCTTTAATAGACTTTAAAGAGTCTGATAATGAGAATAAGTGACCATCATTTAGGTTTCTGCAAACAACTCTGAGCGGGTTAAACAGCTCATAATTGTATTTACATTGACTAAGCTTAATCTAGATAAAGTCCCTAGAGAAGCGGTTAGGTACTTTCAGTAAGTAATGAAGGCGAGTCAACAGCACCATTTATTACTTTGATTAAGAAGGAAACCCTAAGAACAAATCTACGTTTCTCAAGTGACGGTAAAAATAATAGAAGCAACCTATTTTCATAGGGGGCAATCGTGTACAACATGTGTACATATAATTACTTTTATACATATCTTTTGTTATTGTTAAATACTTTGATTTCCTTTTGACCTTGTGAATTACTTATCCAAAGACGAATATATATATAATTATAAATACTTGTGACTAAATACTTCAATTTACTGTTGCTTATTTAATTTGTTTTTACATTAGTAAATAACTGCTAGGATTTCCAATTATACATTATCAACATTGTAAGTTCAAAATCTACTCAAATCTCAAGTGTGAGTTCTTAAATAAATTTACGCTTGAGGTCGGTATTATGACAGCACAGTTGAACCAACGTGACTCTAAACCAATTCGCTTCAGGTTTAAATCTCTTTCACGTGATAGGTTGTCATTCAAAAGAAATCCTAAATGGCCTTGTAGATATCACAAATTCGTTAAGAAAGTCGGAAAATTCGCACAGGCGTATGCATATTTAAAGTTACATGATTCAACAAACGAAAAGAATAACCAGTTGCGGCTATTAACTATGGAAGTTTTAAATTTGCTGTGTTTTAGTATTTGACAAACAGAATAAATTAAATTTTTTAATTGCGAGGAGCGCAGAAGTTTCAGTCCTTCCCTTGCCGAAATTTCCGAATAACAAGAAATCGTCCGATATACCCTTGGCAGCGGCAATTGGTTCAACCATTTATATGTATGGCAGGAATTTATTAAATATTATTTTGAATCTTCGCCGCGATTTTCTTTTGTGTTTTTGATTGCTGACATTTCGGGACCAATCATTGGTGCTGATTTTCTCAGCAAGTGCAGTCTGCTAGTTTATGCTAAACATAAACGTTTAGCAGAGCTTGTAAATAATATTTGTTAATGCCTTAGCTGCTGAATCGAAAATTAATTTTGGAAATACTGAGAAATTATCTTAGTTTACCCGCAGACCACAAACCCAAATTATACAAAACCGGTTAAACAAACGGCAATACATATATTTAAGACGGGAGGTGTTCTACTTTGTTCAAAATCTAGATCGTTAGACCCCCCAAGTATAAAGTTGCCTAAACTGAGTTCAAAATTTTAGGTAAATTGGAGATATATGGACCGCCCAGCTTTCCTGTCGCTTCGCCGTTACATCTTGTACCCAAAAAAAATCAGATGTGTGGCGGGCTTATGGAGCGTTTAAACAGTTGATCGGTATCCTTCGCCATATATTAATGACATAAGTTGAAACTTAAGAAACAAATGCATTTTCTCAAAGTTAGAATTGATCAGACTATATCATCGGAGTCCATGTTGTAGTTGCCGAGCCGGAGATAGAACATTTAGAACATTTAAAATTAGTTTTCTGTAGCTTAGATAATGTGGTTTAAACATTAAACCTAATAAGTGTACTTTCGGTGTAAGTAGCATTGATTTTGGGAAATTGGAACGACCAAAATCAGTGAAACAAGCTCAGAAGTTTATAGGAATTATCAACTGTTTTCATAGATGTGTTCCTAAATTAACGGCTCTTGTCGGTTGATAATATAATCAATAAAGTAGTTAAGTTTGAAGATTAAACTCTTACACGGGACTAAAAAGTTATCGAATCATTTGAGCTTGTTGAAAAGACATTCTTCTCAAGAATTTTGCTAAATCATATTAGCAATGAGGCCGAATTATCTCTAACGGCTGATGTTTCATGTGTCGCGGGAAATAGCGTGTTGCAAAAGTCCATGAATGGGTAAGCCTAAACGGCAATTCCAGCTTTGAGGTTTAGTTACCCCACCTGAATAAAAATCCTACTATCGCTTGGCGCTATCATAGCGGCCAAAAAATTTAAATTCCAATGCCTACACTTAACTGACCTATCATCTATGATCAACGGACGGTTTTCTATAATAATGACCCTAATTCGGCACTTATAGCGTGTAGTTCCGAACGGACGATGACGGATTTTATTTCGGACGGCGGTGCGTTACCTAGCCGCCAGTTTAATTCAGTAGAAGTATGGAAAATGGGAAATCTTCTCCACTGTTCTTCTGTAATTATCCTACTTGAAATACATATATATATATATTATTATATCATTAGCTCCTAATGAAATGTTTTCAATCTCAGCAAAATTATTATTAGGTGTATTTATTCCATATTTAATTATAACAGGGCGATCTACTGTCACCAACTTGTTAGAGTTTACTTGTCATGTTTTCAAGGCTTTTTCTAGTGCCACTCGCGCAGATGTTATATACATTGATTTAAGCAAAGCGTTTGATATGGTTAACCATAACTTACTTATCTTCAAATTCCAAGCCTCTGGCTTCCCTTTCTATTTAGTGAAATGGATAAGCTCATATCTGCACACTAGATCCTTCAGAGTTTAGTTTAACTTCATCACCTCGGATGAATTCGATGTTATGTCTGGCGTACCTCAAGGAAGTCATTTAGGTCCCATTTTATTTAGTTTATGCATTAACGATCTTCCATCGGTGGTTAATTCCAGCCAGATCTTAATGTATGTTGATGATGTAAAACTTTTTTCTTTCTTCTCTGTTGAATCGCAATCACATCAGCTTCAAGGTGACTTGGATAATTTTGTTGCATGGTGCTCTTTGAAACTAAATCTAAATAAATGTAAGAAGCTTTATTTTTCAAGGAAAAAGTCGTTCATTACTCCGTATTTTATTGATTCGCATAGGTTGGAGGACGTCGATACGTTCACAGATTTAGGCGTTCTATTTGACTATACATTACGTTTCAACTTGCACATTGCGCTCTCGTTAAGCAAAACTAAGTCCGCGCTTGGTTTTATGAAAAGGTGGTCCAGAGAGCTTGATGATCCTTACATTACGAAAAGGCTGTACATGTGTTTGGTTAGACCCATACTTGAGTATGCCCCTGCTGTGTGGTCTTCTTCATATAGGTGCTATGTAGATTCAATTGAAGCTGTTCAAAAGCAATTCTTGCTGTTTGCTCGCAGAAATTTGGGTTGGGATCCGATTGTCTCTCTTCCTCCCTACGAAAATAGGTTGCTTCTGCTATCCTTACCGTCTCTTGAGAAACGTAGGTTTGTTCTTGGCGTTTCCTTTGTAATCAAAGTAATAAATGGGGCTATTGACTCGCCTTCATTACTTGGTGAAATAAGCTTTAATGGCCCTAACGGCTTCCCTAGGCACTTTATCTTGGTTAAGTGTAAATATAATTATGAGTTGTTTAATCCGGTCCGTGTCGTTTGCAAGAACCTAAATGACGTCTATCACTTATTCTCGTTATCGGACTCTCTAAAGTCCATTAAAGCAACATTGCTTAATACGCGCGATTTACCTATGTCGTACTTAAACTAGCTTTTATCCTTAAAAGTCGTTACGATTCGAAAATGAATTATTGTTAAGTATTATCGGTTGCCAGGCTTATGCATGTTTGCGATGGCTTAGGGGTTCATTTGCAATTTGTTCCTGTACCGATTGTAAGTGTGGCTCAGCGCTGGTTGTGTACATGGCTTTTTTCTCTTTTTTTTTCCGTCTTATTTGTTTTATTGTACTTATACTAAGTTTTATTATAATATAAGTTTTGCTTTAAGTGCCAATTGAACTCGACTGTTATTTTTTTAGTTCAGTTTCATGTGTAAGTAGAATTAAAATAAATAAATAAATAAACAATTATCAATTGAATTATTGACATAATTCATTTCAATTAATACTGCGCCCTTGGTCCGTACACCTGTTAAAGGTCTTGTCTCGCTGACCCTCATTCGGAATATGAGTATTGGGGCTTCTTTCCCTATCGCTCACTTACAAGGAAGTAACTGACGTGACGGTACGCTGGACGTTAAGCTTATCCCGTTACCGATTGTGTAGTAAACATAACGGTGTAATCGTTGACTAAATTTAAGGGTTTGGTAGTTATTTACGCGTTGAAGTGCCAATTAGGCCACCGTGTACTACACACCTAATTTTGCTAAATTTTGAAATGGTTAAGACTGGTTAAGATTGATTACCTTTGGCATGTTTGATGAAACAATAAAATAAAGGGATAAAAAAACAACAGAATTATGGAATTTGTAAAAGAACGAAATAAGAGAACATTTGAATAACATAATAATAGCATATAATAATGAAATAATACAAACATTGGCTTATTGATATGTACAAAGATCTTCGCCGTCCTCATGATTTGTCCAACCACAAAGAAGAAAAAGATTAAATTAAGTAAATAATCAAATAATTTTTTGAATACAAATCATTTGTTATGATAAAAATTTCTGGTAAAAACGGTTCTGCCATCGCTGGGTCACGGTGTTAGAATGTGCCTAAAATATCAATTAGCACGCCAACTTCCTCGTCAGTACATTCTTCGATTAAAGTGTCGCATTCCGAACAGCGTTCGCAAACAGTGTAATCACCCACGTGCCGAGTGTTCTGTTTAGAAAACAAGAACATTGAACATGAAGAACAAGAAGAGGTTCAGTGAGAGTTGCATGTGTGCGCGGTATAGGAGAAAAGCAAAATCATATTGAGCTTGAAATGTCAATGCCTGTAGAATAATTTAAGTGCTCCTAACTATTTCCACTGCTGTAGTAGGGCGTTCCAAGCCAACCAATCATTGTTGCACGTCCGAGTGTGCGATGCAACATGCAAAAGCATTCGTTGTATTTTACCAATACCCATTTTGATTATTTTCGGGTGATATTCGTCGACTGACAGGAAATCGCGAAAGCAGGCTAAGCTAAGTTAGTGTAAGCTATAATGGTTAAGAATAACATTTTGTTAAGTTGACGAAATGGATTGCAAGTTTAGTGAGGTTGCCAAAGATAATCTTGTAGGAAGCATAAGTTAGATGACTCGAAAAAACCTGGAACTCAAATATCTTAACTACTTGATTTTAATAAACTAATGTACTTGTGAAACACAATCCAAATAACACACTCTTGATTGCGGTGTAAAAATACTAAAGTAAGTAAAACGCACATCGTTTTTTTTTTTGACATCTCCCAGGAAAATAAATTTTCTTGTGGGTACTCTAGGACACGGCGAGCTCCTATTTTAAACCTCCGTCAAGAAAAAGTTATGTCCTAAGTATAGCGTTACACGAATCGTAGGCATAAATAAGAATTTTCTTTTTTTACACTTTAAATATACATTCATTTTTTATTACGTTTGTTGAAACCAAAAAAAAAAATTTTTCATTTTTATATAAAAGAGGAAAGTAAACTAAGAAGATCTGAAGACCCACCTTCGAGATCTCCCACAAGAATTTATGAGACGAGAGGGATTCTAGTTAGGGTAAGGTTTAGAATAAGGTAAGGAGTATTATCAGACAAAAAGAATAATATTGTTTCGGAACCAGCTACCTTTTGACCTTTTGGCTTGTGTAGTTTTATTATATAAAGGCCTTAGATTTTAGATAAATGAAATTTTAAAAACATTTTTTTCTACAGATATAGAAAGGCGCATTAAACGACTTTTTTTATAAATTAAAATTTTAAACAATTATGTTGCGTGCAGGACAACCGATTGAGCACAAAATGTCTCCAGGAGATGGCTGCAGTGTTGCCATTTTTTAATATTTTTACGAAATTGTTTATTTTTTTAGTGCTTCAAGATAGACTTAATCTCCTCAAATATTATTCTTCTACAATTTCTTCTTCTATTCCAAAAAACTTGTCAGAAAACCTCCTTCTCTCAGGCTGTTACAGTGATTTACTACCTTAGAAGAACTATCGACATTACAAGAAAGCGTCTTTCTTCGAGCAAAGTTGCCAACTGCTTACGGTATACGTACATGGATGAAGAAATTAAGTTGCTTTTGATATATGCTAAAGTAGTTCCCTAGTCCAAATGTAAAAATTAAAAATTTTGTAATAAACTGCATTCACAAAGCCTAAAAATTGACGATATATTTTATTGAACGTCTAAAAAGTCAACAGAAATTTATAAAAGTTTTCCTACGACGCTAGCAAGGCTAAGATCAAAAAAAATATATAAAAACATTTGCAATGAGTCTACTAACGGCTGTGAAATAGAGATATTGTCTCCACCAGAAGCCTTTATGTGACTCATTCACGGATGTACTCGCTTATTTTGAATCAAAAATGTTTGAAGAAGCATAGAAACCAATTACACAGAGAAATGAAAGCTCTCAGACAAAATTAACAAAAAAGAGCAACAGTGTGATATAACATATTCAAAAAAAAAGAACTGTTGAATTTCAGTTTATTCGGCTGGACAGAGTAAAGCGATATGATATTAAAGTCTGCTTTCGTTGCCATAAAAAAAGCAAAATTGTCTTCGTCAGTTGTCATAACTTTCCATAAAAATTATTCGCCTTTCTAACGTCATATGAACTTCTTGCAGCAATGTAGTGCAATGTATTTGTTCTAGCACCGCATCACTGCTGGAATGTACGATGCAGACGAATGGATTGTCTCTTTATTTTAACTTCTGAAGCAAAGATTTACTAAACTAGACAGTTTTTGCAAAATCTACTCGAAAAAAATAATTTCAAATGTAAACAAACGTTAAAAGAGCAAGAAGGAAAAAACTGAGCACAGTTGCTGACTAGTAACTACGTACTTCTTGGACAAGTTTCGGAGGCCACGGGATGAAAATTAATAATCGTTTTCATCTCGTCCGCTTCTTTTTCATCATCACTCGCTTCTCGTCCTCGCCTTCCTTGCTGTCATCCGCTTTAAACGAAGATGCAGAAATAATAATGTTACGTATTTAATATAAATGTGTATTAAACATAACAAATTCTTTCCTTTTATTGCTACATTTTGCAAAGCTCGATGCTCTTCTATCTGCTTTCAGTTTTACTTTGGTTTTGTTTGTTAACTAAAGGTTTTTAGCAAAGTAATTTATTTATCTTCGCGGTATGTGAACACCGAGCGCACGAAAAATACGTTTTGCTTTTACTCTGCTATCCAGAACTCTTTTCTCCTACAAACGCAACTGCATAAAAAAAAAATGCGTGGTAACTTTTCTTGCGGTTGATATAAATCAACTTAAGAGCAAATTAGCTCAAATCGGAGGGGAAGAGAAAGAAACCAAACTCGTCGAACAACGCTGAGTTCTGCTCGTAATACGCGGGCGTTGGCACTGATTTAAAAAAAAAACCTTAAATTAGTTAACTATATATATGTAAAATCATTAAATAATAAAATCCCAGACATCGACTCTATGCAATATTTTCTGCTTTGGACTGTAATGGTATTATTATATTTGTTAAAAATTTTATGATTAAAACCGAACCGCGCACGATTATCCGCAAGCCACACAGATTCTGCCGAAAACTAAAGCAGTTCACTGCTGTAAATGCATAGAAAAGGACCAAAGCACTAACTTCATTATTGTCTTCACTAATTTCAATTGACTACGAACCGAACATTCCCGATAAATTTTTTTTTTTTTTATTATTAGAAAGGCTTCGAATCTTGTAGCAAAACCAAAAGAAATAGTTACAGATACGGGTGATTTTTTAAAAAATTATAAAACCATTGAACCATTTTCCAAAAATATAGACTTCTACCTTTAATTACAGTTCCTGCAGAATAACGAATTTTTCTGGCTTCTTGCAGGTACATATATAAGTAAGGTTATCAAGGGGTACTTTTGAATTAGATGTATTCTTAGCTTCAAATTTTGCATATCTCCGCATCTTATGTACAAATTTCAAAGAAGCCAATTCCTAAACGGTTAAAGAATAAATACAAATAATGAATCATGCAATTTATAAATTTGCGGCTTGTAAACTAACCTCGAAACACTTGCCGGGTTTATTAGCATTTTTCAAGTATTTTCGAAATAGATCGTATACGAATATATCGGGGTAAGGAATGCAAAGCTGCAAATATGAGTATCTCTTTAATGTCTGGAATACATTCTTTTAAATAAATTGAAAATCTCACGGGAGGAATAGGATACGGAGTGGAACAATGGACTTGATTTCGAAATTCATCTTGTACCACGCAACTCTTGCAAACATCACTTTCCCAAACACCTTTCTGTACCTGACCAGTCTTCATATGATAAAAAGTGCCCTCTCCATTTTTGTACCCTCTAGCAAAGTAGCCTTCAAACCTGTTGCCGTTGTCTTCAAAGTATAATTTCAATAATGTGTACCTTCTCTCAGCACGATGTCCGACTTACTGTAAAATAGTGCTCCCAATCCGTGATAAACATCAACTTTCCATTCGCCCAAATAGAAATCACCAGATTCATAAAAAATGAGCCCCATACCATGACGTCTATTATTTTTCCATGAACCGTAATAGACTCCTCCTCGGTAAAATTGCTTACCGCTGCCACATTTCTGATCATTTTCCCAATACCCAGTATAAATTACACGCGTTTCACCATTTTGCATTTGTTTTGTCATACTCCCCAATCCCTGCCGTTTTCCATTGCTCCATTGTCCAGAATAATTCAAATTGTTCTTGCTTGTTTTTGTACCGTAACCATGGTGTTGGGAGTTTAGCCAAAAACCCTTATAACTGCCACCACCAGGATAAAAAAATTTATCCCTAGAACCGGTGCTCTCCGCTTTAATCAAATTTTTCAATTCACATACACAATGACAACGTTTATCCATAATTATTTCCAAATTAAACTTTGCAATCATAAATAAACAAAACATAAAATTCATTCAAAAATTTATGAAGTAAATTTAAAAGAAATTCTAAAAATAAAGTGAGAGAGCTTTTAAATTCGTAGCACGCACCTTCAATATAACAAGGCAACCATCTATCTGAAAGTTAACTTTCGCTTGCGACCAACCCGATAATTGATAAACGTTTAGGACGCGATCAAATGTAAATAAAAAAGCAAAAAAAAAAGATGCACATCCTTCTTTATATTTAATTGTGGCTTCAAAATCCGAAAGATAACAGTTGGTTCTCCTCTGTGATAAGTAAACACACAAACCCATCTAGCCGTATAATAGATGTAATGAAAGTAATGCACGAATATTTAGCGAGTAACTCGGATAAAATCAAAAAAAATTAATTTTAGAAAATTCACTATATATTTGCTCTATTCATATATTTTATATAATTTTTGTAAAATACAAAAACGGTGAAATTTTTATACAATGGAAGTAAACTGCATAAGGAAGGAATTTATCAATTAATTGCAAAAAAGTGTGTAAGGTCAATAGTTTATATGCATTTTTTACATTGACGAAGTTAACTATTGTATTATTTCTTAAAGCAATCGATGTATGCCTTTGCGCATTCGCGTCTGTTTAGCTCGATACCGCGATGATGATAAGAATTCTTTCAGCGAATTATATACATTGATTACCTATGTTCCAGTAGCAAGATTTAAAAATTTGGGAACTGAAAATGTTGAATCCAATGATGATTGCGGTTAAAATATGAATTTAATCTAAACGGCAGAAAATGCTTTAAATGCAAGTTTGTTGACAACGTTTTGTTCCGTCTTCTTTGTTAACTTTTGATTCAGTCGCTATTGTTTTTAGTTTAGCTAATTATGAGAGACATTGGTATCGTTGTCATTACCAATTTATGGCAAACAACACCACATAATAGGATTATATAATCATTACATTTTACGAGTCAAATCTTCCGATAGTGATGCATTTCCCTCTACTAGCAGATTAGCGCAGTAAGTAAACTTTTCATGTGCAATTTTGTTTGTTTTTAATTTTTCTTAAGCATTTAGAAGACCCATTGCAATAGATGTATCGTCGGAGGGCGATATGCCGAATGTAGCTAAGAAGTGCAAGCATGTAGCCATATGTTATCCGTTATTTAAGAAGTTTAACATTTGCGTCCTTTTTGTTGGATTAAGCGCTCAAATTGAAGGCCAAGAACGGAAGACGCCATTTGATAAATGAGATTTGCTCTAGAAGCAAATCGATTACGAAGTACGTTTTCAAGGAACTATCCAACAATTATTAAAGGAGTAAAATTAATTATTGAAGGACAAAATAGAAGCTGAAGAAGGGAAGATGACAATTTCCTCTTTCGCCAGACCGCAAGTGATTTCGACGATGATGATGAGGAACTTTATTAAATTCTTCATGTTTCTGGTTTAATTTGATCCAAAAGAAAATAAATTTAAAAATAATAGGAATAAATTCATACAATATATATAAGTACATATACTCTCCCATCAAATGGTATAAAATGATGAGCCGAAGCATTCTGCTTAATATTTGTACACTGATTAACACAAAACGATTGTTTAACAATATATTAGGTTCTTGCAATTATTTTGAATATTTTTTCACTTGAAAAAAGCATTTATTAAGAAAAATTTGTGCAATGTACATTAAACGAAATATTTTCCACAATTTCTACAACTTCTTTCTATCCTTCTGGCAACATGGCGATGCTGCGCCGAAGGAACGATATTGTTGCGATCCAATTATCGACCTCTTTTTGCACATCTTGAGCATTCCGAAACCGCGTACAAGCCAAGCCGTGCTACATCAATTGGAACGAGTGGTAATCAGAAGTCCCTATGTATGGTCAGTGCGCTAAGCATGGGATAACTTTTCATTTGAACTGCAACAGTGTATCCTTGAGAACTCTTGCAACGTGGCAGAACGTTGTTATGCAAGAGGATGACTCTGTGTTTGTTAATCGCTACTGCTGGTCTTTTTTGCAACAATATTTCGTTCAATCAATAGACGTCAGTAGACATCTGCAGCAACAGTATCATTCGATTTTAGCAGCCCTTGATTCGGTATGCCTAGCAAAGCTGCATGGCCGGAAATATTCCATTTCCATGTCGATGTGTAGAGCTCTCCTAAACTAATCCACGACGTTTCCCGCTAGATCTACAGAGAACTATTCTTCTTTTGCTTTTTTCGTATGGCATCCGTTTTCCCTGCTTTTGGAGTTTTCCCAAGGCGTGTAAACGTCTAAAAATAATAGATTTACAAATTGCTAAAAAAGTTGTTTGAGAGTTGTTACGTCCGCGTAAAAATGTAGGGTAAGGGTTTTGTCGGCTGATTTAACCACGACCCCATCGCAATAGCGTAATTGTGTAATGACTGCATGCTGTTATTCGAGAGCATATTTGCAAAAATAGCAGCTTGTCATTATGCACAGAGAAAAAAAACGGATTGATATGAGAGCAAAGGCTTTGCTTTAAAGGAAAGTTGGTTGAAAAATATTCGAAGAGTGGCTTTGCTTTCGTATATTTCGCTTACTCGGCGGCAAGGTATAGATTTAATTCCTTTAACCACCAATATTATTGCAGATAACTGCAGTTTGTTAAATCCTCTCTGTTTGCTAATCCTAAATACTTTTTTAAGTCCGTTAATTCCAAAAGAAAAATCTCAATAAATCCCTCACATGTTTCTTGTAATGACTCTGATGTCTCAGATGATTTTGAAATCTCAAATCTCTTTGCTGAACACTTCCGACAAAACTTTTCGACTGCTAATTCCGATTAATAGCAAACTACCCATATCCTATAACTAATTTGGTTTCAATCCCAAATTTGGTTATTTCTGAAAATAACGTTTTTGAAGGGTTGAGCTCTCTAAAATATAATTGTGCGCCTGGACCTAATGCAATTCCATCATGTGCACTTAAATCCTGTCCTGTCGGGCTATGCGATGCTATGTCAAAAATTTTCAACCAGTGCTTGCATTTGGGTGCTTTCCCTTTGTGTTGGAAGACTAGTTTCCTCATTCCTATTCACAAAAAGGGAAATAGACAACATGTTGAAAACTTCAGAGACATTGCCAAGTTGAGTGTCTTGTCTAAAATGCTCGAGCGATTTGTGACTCAGGATTTGGCCTTTGTCATTAAATCGTATATATCTTCACTCCAACATGGCTTTCGAAAAGGGTGATCTACGGTCACCGTCATCTGTTAGAGTTTTCTTGGCATGTTTTCAAAGCTTTGTCTAGTGGTCCTCGCACTCTTGTCATATACACTGATTTGGTTAACCATAACTTACTTACACTTAAACTCCGGGCCTCTGGCTTCCCTTTCTATTTAGTAAAATGGATAAGCTCTTATCTGCACAATAGATCCTTCAGGGTTTTGTTCGGATGAATTTCCCGTGACGTCTGGCGTGCTTCAAAACAGCCACTCAGGTCCCATTTTATTTAGTTTATACATTAATGATCTCCCAATGATCTCCAGCTAGATCTTCATGTATGTTGATGTTGTGAAACTGTTTTCTTCCTTTCGCTTTCTATTTAGCCATAGGTTACGTTTCAACTTGCATTTTGAGCTCTCATTTTTTATTTAAAATAATATTGTGTGGTTAACGTGTTGGTTGCCAAGCTTATGCATGTTTGCAATGGTTTAGGGGTTCACTTGCAACCTGGATCTGTTCTTGTTGCGGGTGTGCTTCTGTGCTAGCTGTGTCACTTTTGCAACATTTTTTTTTGTGTAATGCTAAATGACAATTTTTTAAAATTTGTGATGTGCTATGGCTCCACGTTTAGTTCATACGCACATTTATTTCAGAACTTTTCATGAAATTTGCACAATTTCCAAAGTTTCTTTAATAATTTTTTTCCATATTTTGTTGGTTTGGTTTGACATAAGAATTGATTCAAGACATTCTGCAGATTTACAATTGGTATTTTGTCCCTTTTATTTATGTTGGATTTTAGCTCAAATATATAGCCAGAATTGGTCACAAATGTTACGCTTTTATTTCGGTTTTATTTTATGCAGAACCGTCAATTTTAATATTAACAGATTTTATTTAAAAATTTCTTGTAAAAGAATATATATTTTTATAAACAAACCCTCAATTCAATACTCAACAACTAAATATACTATTTTTTAGAGTCTTTTTAACAAAATCAAAACTAATTAAAGGAAACCTAAGACTACTTTAGAATAATTTATATTTCGAAACGTGATGATGATTATATTGATCACCCTATTTTTGACATTATTAAAATGAATGTTGGTTAAAGTTATGTTTACTGGACAATGGCGTTACAACCAAAAATCCCTTGGTTGCTTCAGGAAGCATGCTAACTTTTGTTTGCTTGGTGCAAAATTCACGGCACCCAAATCGTCACAAATTAACTTTTCTGAAATAGTATTAAGAAAATCTTACGAAACAAAGGTTTAGCATATATTTTTACAACTGAAGAGCTGAACACAACAATCCACCATAGAAGTAGAGCATATAATTTACAATACATGGTAGGAGTAAAACGCCACGGTGACAGAAAAATTGCCGATGAGATTTTGTTTCTTTTTTAGAACATTACCACAACACTACTTTTTTTTATCGTTATCGGGTCGTCTAGAAATTTTTTAATAGTTACTTTAGTATATCTTTTATGTTTACTTTTAACTATTTTGATTGTAAGTTTTGTTTTTTTTTTTTTTTTGAAATTATTATAGTAATAATTTTTGACACACTTCCACCGCCTTCCCCTAGGCCCCTTTTCTTGTTTCACTTTTTGTTCTTCTCTTTGTTTTGCTTAGAAGTTGTGCCCAAATTGATGTGTGAGAACATAATTTTTCTTCAAGTGTTATTTGCACTTGCACTTTTTGTGTAATATTGTAGTGTATAAATAACCACTCATTCATAGGCAATTAAATAACTCTGTTTCAGAACACAATTTCTATGTATATA